CATATTTACTCATTTACTACATTCAATTTTGCCTTCAACCCCACATAAATCCCAAATTTACTGTGCTTCTTGTGTTGTAGGAGTGTGCATTTTTTTGGATAAAATAAAAAATTCAAAGTGGAAAAACTAGGGGTTAGATATCTGATATGTCCATGAATAACACCGTGGGGGTTAGAGAGTAAGAAAGGAGAAAGAAAGAGACAAAGAGAGGAGTGAACTGTAATGAACAGTAAACCGTCTAATCTATTAGCTTTTCTCATAAAAAGATCTTCTTATTTATAGGGGAGAGGGTACCATATAATGATATTATATTTTTGTCCTTACGTTGATGACGGGTTGTTTGGGAAATTCTAGTTATTTTACTTATATAAGTCTATTGCTCGACTGCTCTTTGACTCAGTCGTCTAATTTTTTTGGTTTCGACTCGAGAAGACCGACTCAATCAGTTAAGGTGAATTAGTGCAACTGACAAGCTGAGCTTGTTTAGAATTAGTTCGGTAGGACAGACTCAATCGACTAAGTTTTGCCAATCAATTGTTCTAGTCTAATTGTCGACCCTCGATCCCTAGATGAGGAACTCCCGTCGATAGAACAAGACTAGGCTATCAAGCAAAAGACGAATTACTATAACTCTTTAGATAGCTCATTCTTTGACGAGAGAATTCATTGGAATGATCACAAGACTTTATTTTATTGCCAATTATTGGTCCCTAATGAGGAACTTCGAGGCATCTATGGGTAGAGCTCTAAAAGAGCCGAACTTGAGCGAAATTGCTCGTGTTTGAAATCGGCTCGTGAATAGGGGTTTGTGTTCAGCTCGATTTAAATATTCATGTTCGTGTTTGGCTCAAAATTGGCTTGTTAAAATTAAATTGAAAAAATAGATGTAGAGTGTTGGATTCGAACCTAGACCAAATGTATGCAAAATAATGCGCATAACCACATTACCACAAGAGTAGTTACAATTTAAACTTGGATACAAATATATATAATATATTATTATATAAAAAATATGCGTAATATATTATTATATAAACAATTGTACAATTCTTTTTATTTCGAACTAAAAAGAGTCAAACACAAGCGAACAAAGAGTTGTTCGTGTTCGGCTCACTTATAATTCGAGCTTAAATTTTTTTTTTGTGTTCGGCTCGGTTTTTTTGACGGTCATGTCTGTAGGATGGTTGGTGATATTGAGTAATTGAACCCATTGTTGTAATGTTTAGCTCAGAAATTTATTTGTCTTGCTTTAGTGTGATCGATCAATATTATGATTATTTTTTTTTTTGCCCTTCTCCTGACTCAATCGACCTTCAGTCCTAGCTCGAATGGTTACATCTGATCGGTAAGTGGGCCTCCTGATCCTTTGTTTTGCTTCCTTTCTTTTGGATCGTTGTATCTCCTTGGGATTTGCGCCGCCACATTATATGTATGTATGTTTGTATGTTAGTCCTTGCGTCG